TGATTATTGGATATTAGCCCAGAACCTTGAAATGCCCAAGATGCAACTCACAGGCCATATGAAGCTCATGAAGAAGGAAGACCAAGTAGGGGTGATTCAGTCCTTCTTAGAAGGAGCAACAAAATACTCAAGGGAGCAAATATGGAGACAAAGTGAGGGACAGAAACTGAAGGAGGGGCCGTCTGAAGACCATTCCACCTGAGTATCCATCCCATGTGCAGTCACCAAAGGTAGATGCTGATGTGGAAGTCAGGAAGTGCATGCTGATAAGAGCCTGATATGGATGTCTCCTCAGAGGCCTTCAAGAGTCTGACATATTCAAAGGCAGATGCTCACAACTAGCCATTGAACTGATAATGGGGTTCCCAATGGAGGAGTTAGAGTGAAGGCCATTGGAGATGGCCCCACGAGGAGAGAAACAATACCAACCAACCACAGCTCCCAGGGTCTAAACCACCAGCCTGGGAGCACTTAGGGAGGGATCCAGGGCTTCAGCTGAATAAGTAAGAGTGGAGGGCCCTGCTAGGCATAGGTGGAAGAAGAGATCCTTGACCTCATGAAGGCTGGACGGCCCAGGGGGTGGGAATTTGAGGGTGGGGAGGTGGGAGTGGGGGGAGGTAGGGGTTACATCCACAGAGAAGAAGGAGGAGGGAGTGAGGGGATAGGGGGTTCCTGGGTGAGTGGGGGATGGGGTAAGGAGACAACATATGAAATGTAAATAAAACATCCAATAATAAAAAAAAGGAACTCACCGAGTGGTGGTGGCACACGCCTTTAATCCCAGCACTTGGGAGGCAGAGGCAGGTGGATTTCTGAGTTTGAGGCCAGCCTGGTCTACAGAGTGAGTACCAGGACAGCCAGGGCTACACAGGGAAACCTTGTCTCAAAAAACCCAAAAAACAAAACAAAACAAAAAAACTGAAAAGGTAGAACTCGGCTCCTTCTGCACTATGTCTGCCTGTACACTGCCATGCTCCCACCTTGATGATAATGGACTGAACCTCTGCACCTGTAAGCCAGCCCCAATTAAATGTTGTCCTTATAAGAGTTGCCTTGGTCATGGTGTCTGCTCACAAGAGTAAAACCCTAAGACAAACTTATTTTTTTTTGTCTTTTTGATTTTGTACTGTTGAAATATAAGCAAATCGATGACATATTTTTTGTCAAATTAAAAATAGGAAGATCCATCAACATAAAAGGTTAACACACTGGGGCAAGTGTCAAGTGAAGGGTATGCTGAGATGGCCTCCTGCTCCCCCTAGCTCCGTTGCTTAGAAGCTAATCAGAGGTCAGACACCATCAGACTAAAGAAGGCTCTGAGTTTGTTCTTTACTGTGATTCTAAATGTAAAGTCAAAGAACAATTTGAGCAGATATTTTTATATGTGACCAATATTTGACTCATAAGTAAATAAGCAGATGCTTAACACTCCCTAATCATTAAACAAGTTTCAATCAAATTCTGCATGCGATGCGTCTCTCATGCAGTTCAACCTTCCTGTAACTTTTTATACTGTTATGAATCATAATGTAGATATCTGATATGCAAAATATAGACTATACAATCCCCAAAGGGGTTGTATTCCACAGGTTGAGATCCGGTGCCTTGGGATGACTACCCAAAGATATGGTGGTGCAGACTATTTTAAGTCTATTTTACACAAGTTAAGAGTCGTTTTGGAAGAGGGAAGCTCAGCTGAGAAAGTGCTCCCCCCACCAGACTGGCCCCTGGACAAGTCTGTGTTGCATTCTTTTGATTGGTGACTGTAGTGTGTAGTGAGAATGGTCTCTGTCAGCTCATATGTTTCAATCCTTGGCCCCTCATTGGTGAAACTGATTGGGAAGAATTATTGGGAGGTGTGGCTTTGTTGGAGGAGGTGTTCGAGGCTTCAGAAACCTCCAGACATCCTCAATACACTCCCTGTCTCTTGCTTGTAGACTAAGATGTAAGCTCTCAGCTGTTCCTGCAGCTGAACCTTTGTGCCGCCATCATGGATTCTAACCATTCAAAGCCATGAGTTCAATTAAACATTTTATTTTACAAAAAAAAAAAAAAGAAAAGAAAATACTTGATCAATTATTTCTAAAAATCAGAGTAAAAATAACTCATCTTGAAACTATTTGTTTTTGTTTTTATAGCCGAGTATGTAAAGAGTTTCTACCTAGTTTATCTTGGTCAAGCAAAGCCAGTTCTAAGTTGAGTGTTCCTTCCAGAAGCTTTCTTTCTTGTCCTGATATGATGACAAAGGAAGAATTCTCATGGAGTAAGGCGGATCTGATTAAATCCAAGTTCTGTAACTCACTGCCAGTATCATCTTTGAAGATCTCTTCTCAAATTCCTAGTTTATTCAATGCTAAGTAAAAACTAAAAGAATTAATGCATACACATATCTGTGTTAGCAGTACTGTGCATCTGTCTATCTATCCATCTATCTATCACCTGTCTACCTATCTCCATCTAACAATCTATCACATATCTATCATCTATCTATATCTATCTATCTATCATCTATCTATCTATCTATCTATCTATCACTTTATCACCTATCTATCATCTATGTATGTATGATCTATCTACTACCTACCTATCACCTACCTATCATCTATCATCTATGTATGATCTATCTATAATCTATCTATACATATATATCATCTATCTATCTATATACCTATCTGTCTATCTATCTATCTATCTGTCTGTCTGTCTGTCTGTCTATCTATCTATCTATCTATCTGTCTATCTATCATCTATCTACCTATCTGTCTATCTACTATGTGTGTATCCATGTCAAACTATCTGCTTACTTTATTTTCAAGCTTTTTCAAAGAGCACACACTAAGACAGATGAAGCTCATACAACTCTCCTCCAGGTGCCAAGCAAAGGGTAGACACAGTGTACAATTCTCCTTCCTCCCAGGGTATGGCCACTTTCTGACCACTTGAAAGCATGCCAGGCATTTTACAGTGTTAGTCTACAAAAAAAGGGATTGCATCCAGTCACTTAAGTATGTTTATCTAAATAAAACATCTATCATTGCCATACAAGACAAAACTGAAAAAATTTGCCACAATCTTGAAAGATACTTTGCCTAAGTGGTACAGGAGCGCATGTTACTTGAGTAACGTACTTCTGTTAATTGGACATCAGCCTCCCTCCCATACTTTATCCTTTCCTCACTCACCAAGCACCTCTGGGCTTTGTTGCTTAAAAATTACTAGTTTCTTATTTTCCATGGGTTTGACTTGCTGTGGGGTTTCTTTCCATTATCTTCTTTGTTGACACTAAGCTCTTATAAAATGTGACTTCATTTTTGTCTTCTTCTCTCTTCAAAATGTTACAAGCAGTGATGACATTCCCCTACCAAAAGCGATTTGTTTGTAGCTTGTGACAGTGCATCTTACCATGTCTTAGAGCGTTCCCTGATGTGACAGTCTCCACCTGCAGCCACAGTGGAGAAGAGTGCTGTGACAACTCAGGGAGGCAGAGACATTTCCCAACCTCACCTATTTTTTTTTCAGTTTTACAAAGAGACAGCCTTTATTTGAAATAGGGCTGGACCTTGCCATTTATGTTTGAATAAATAATTTCTATAGCTGCTTGACTTCAAGTATTGACAAAATACACATGATACAGTGGGAGCTGTTATTTAACAGACTAACTACTGATTAAGTCTCTACCAGCTATTTTCACCTATCATTTATTTATATATCATCTATATCTATAGCTACATAACTAGAATCTATTTATCTATCATGTATCTATCACATCTAGTTTCCTGTCATGTAACTATCATCTTCCAATATCCTATCTATCACATCTGTATATCCATTATGCATCTATCACCTGTCTTGTATCTATCACATCTATCTATCTATCTATCTATCTATCTATCTATCTATCCACCTGGCTATCTATATCATCTATCTATGTATCTATCTATCATGTGTGTGTGTATGTGTGTGTGCATATCCATGTCGAAATATCTGCTTACTTTATTTCAAGCTTCTTCAAAGAGCACACACTAAGACAGATGAAGCTCCTGTGACTGTGTCTTCACCTCTGGGTGCCAAGCAGAGGGTAGAAACACTGCACAATACTCCTTCCCTTCAGGGAATAGTAGACTGCTTTCTGACCACTGGGAAGCATGCAAGGCATTGTACTGGGGCTTCCTGAAGTTCTTCCCAGAACATTATGAAACCACATGTGTGTCCCCAGAGAAGTCTGAGTTTATATGATTGGCCCTGTATCCCTAGAGCACGCCTGTAGCAGTGAGGCAGAACTGAGCTGGGACTGACTTAGGGTCAAACTGGGTTCCCTGGAAAGGCAATGGGAAAAGTAGGGTTTCCTAAATGGAGCTCAGAGGGATCATGTATACCCTGTTCTTATGCAGAGTCTCTTCCATGGCTTCTTTGACAAACGGATCTTCTGAAGCACTTCAAGTGACAAGGGTGTGATGGGCACTTAAACTCTCCCTAACTTGGCTTACAGTATGAGTAGCAATGTCATGAGAAAAGTTGAAAAAGGATTAGGTTTTGGTCTTGCAATTTTTGGTTCTATGACCTTGTATATTTCCCATACACACAATACATAGAATAGAAAATTTGGTGTAAGTTTCAAATAAAACAGTTAATGGGTAAAACCTTTCCACTTCAGATGGGTGATGCATGTTTACTCTAACTGCAACATACTGAATCCATCAGTATTTACCCAGACTAACTGCTGAGGAAATGAAGGAGTGAATGGAAGATTTGCTTGGTTCCTACCCATCCCTGTCCACATCCAATGGGGTAGAAAACTCTCCATAAACTTAGCGCTGACACTTCAAGGTCACGATAGGAATACAAGCATGTAGATTCTGTCAGTGCAAATTCAGGCTGATTATCTCCCTTGAGCATTTGTCAATAGAGACCACCCACTTGGCACTGCTATAGACACCAGAGATTCATAATGCCCATGTGACTGTTGTCAACCACTGACCTTCTCTTCTAATCTCTTCCAGGAATTTCTACTACATCACAATGTTGAGGGACCCAGTTTCACGTTACCTGAGTGAATGGAAACATGTCCAGAGAGGGGCCACATGGAAAACTTCTCTCCATATGTGTGATGGAAGGAGCCCCACCCCTGATGAGCTGCCTACCTGCTATCCTGGGGATGACTGGTCTGGGGTGAGCTTGCGAGAGTTCATGGATTGTAGCTACAACCTGGCCAACAACCGCCAAGTGCGCATGCTAGCTGACCTCAGCCTGGTGGGCTGCTACAACTTGACTTTCATGAATGAGAGTGAGCGGAACACCATCCTGCTGCAGAGTGCTAAGAACAACCTAAAGAACATGGCCTTCTTTGGGCTCACTGAATTCCAGAGGAAGACACAGTTTCTCTTTGAGAGGACATTCAACCTTAAGTTCATCTCTCCTTTCACACAGTTCAACATCACAAGGGCTTCCAATGTGGACATCAATGATGGAGCCCGTCAGCACATTGAGGAATTGAATTTCCTGGACATGCAGCTTTATGAGTATGCAAAAGATCTCTTCCAGCAACGCTATCATCACACCAAACAGCTAGAGCACCAGAGGGACCGCCAAAAGAGGCGTGAGGAGCGGAGACTGCAGCGAGAGCACAGAGCACATCGGTGGCCCAAAGAGGACAGGGCCATAGAGGGGACTGTCACTGAGGACTACAACAGCCAGGTGGTTAGATGGTGACCCTCTGCCTGCTCCTTTTTATGAAGGGAGATAAGCAGGTACCTCCTCCTTCTCTTGGATTACTTTGAAGAAGTTGGGCCATGATGAGGACTTCTGGCTTTATGTGACCTAGTTTGGACACCTGCTTCCTCTTTGTCTTCATTTTCAATTCAGCTGGAGATTTTTCCATCTTGCTCTCCATCTTTTCTAGACATTTCCTGATCTGATATTAAGTGGGGTGGAAATATATCTGACAGACAACTGTAGAGGGGGTCAGGAAAGAGGCTTCAGAAAGGAGAAAGTCTGTAGTGTCTTTGCTACTCCCGACGGGTCAGTCTGGGAACCTGGAACCCACAGAAGCACACAGGAAACCCAAAACCATGGTTTGGATGCTCTGCTGAATGCAGCATGTCTCGCCCAGTAGAACTTTGGTCTGTTTATAGAACGAGAGAAAGATCATTTGTCTTTGGATGACCCTGTGACCCAGTTTGAACTTGGGAACCGTTCACATGAGGTTTAAATCAGGAATAGCAGGGTTTGTCTCTACAGTTGTTTCTAAACAAAATTACTGTAATATTGACCATAGCTAGAGACCACTAGACTACAGCCTCTGAGATTAAAGCCCTAAGCCACATGTCCACTTTACCTTTTAGGGAGCAAGGACTGGACACAAGGCAGGGCTGGTTGTGGCCCTGAGAAATGAATCCTGGCGGGCCATCTTCAGGAATACACTCCTTTAGCAATGACCAAGGAGATTTTACTTTACTACTGTTGATCTTCCAGATAAAGAATAATTAAAAAAAAATTAAAAAGTGAGAGCAAGGGAACCAGGAGAAACCCTTCATTTTAAAACTAGCTTTAGGACCTTAGGTGTTGAAAGAATGGTACACTTTTACCTTTGTGGAGCAGATTCCTTCTCAGCCAGGTTGAGAATTCTGTTATCACAAAATATGTTGTCAAAGAACTTGGCTTAAAAGGCAGGAGCTAAAACAATGAGTGCATGTGATACATCCCCAGGTCAGTAAAAGAATGGGGCAAGAAGATTCAGCACAGCATCCACGAGACCATTATATCAGGGGTTCAGAAGGATGCTGCACCTGACATTTGCAGTGTCTCTAGACCACTATATTCCTACATGATTATTACCTGTTCTACAGCTACAACCAGAGAACCAAGCTACTGCGTACAAAACTGGACCAAAAATATGCTGCATTGCCCTAGGCTCCTTGGTTTTGCCCTTTCAATCCACAGCAGCAATCACTTTTCTGGAAAGGGATGAGGAGCAGGGAATAGAAAAGCCTTCAGCTCACATTCACCCAGAAGATCAGAGAGGGTATAAGTTTTACAACATATTGATAAGATCAATCCTTTTAAGCAGCCAAAGGCCAAAGGCTTGAGACCCCTAAATCAGATTCGAAAGCCTATTTCATTGATGTCCTACACGTTTGATGTTTAAGCCAGCTTTATATAAGCTAGTTCTCAGCCTTCAGAAAGCTTTCTCTGGGGTTGAAAAGCCATCATGGCCCAGTATCTATGGAATGCCTAATGCAGGGGAGCCAGCATCTCTTGTAGATTCCAGTGGAGAAGTGGCTTTGATATCCCTCACTGTGATAGGCATCTACTGTATGGCAGGAAATGACATCACTGGATGGCCTTCTTATGTCATGTTCTAAGAGAAGCCCCATGCTGCACTGTCAATATATTCAGACTCACCAGGTAGATATTGCTAGTCTCCATTATATAGCTGAGAAAATGAAGACCACAGATGGAATGAGATTTCCATGGAGATCACAAGATAGACCTGACTGTCCACACAGCACATGATCCACAGCTACGTTGTGCTTGACATGTAGTGTAGATCTCCCTGCCATCTCTATCAGGAGCCAGATGTTATCAGTCTGAAGTATCTGTTCCTGATCCACAGAGGTGGCATAGAGCGATGATGCTACACTTGCAGTGATCCCTAGCCTTTCTCCTCAGGGTAAGTCTCCCCTCATCTCCATCACACTAGTGAGAAGGAGGGATGGATGACTTCTTTGGCAACTGTAATTTTTGAGATACACACAAGTATAAATTCAAAGTGGACAATTAACCGTGGCTATTTAGTTTGTAGAGATGAGACCTCTCAAAGCATACGCCTGTCTCTCTATGATGACATCAAATCCTCTGGAAGGGGGGGAGGGGTCAGCAGGCATGGATGAGATCACATTCACCTGCTAAGATCCAACGTTCTGCCAGAAAGAGAAACTTAAAAATTGTGCCTCTTCCATCAATTGTGTGTGTGTGATACACACACACACACACACACACACACGCACACACATGCTCACATCTTCAGTATTTTTTCAAATGGAAAATCAAAACAAGCTAGAAAGCATCAGATAGATTCTTTTATATTTACTGTACTTTCTGGCAAGGACTTCTTAGGGGAAGCTCCTGCTACCTTCACACTATTCCTCTGTGTCCTTGGGGCTTATATCAGAAGGTTTTCTGACACCTCACTGCTGGATACACAAGGTATATGGCTTTCCCTCCAGTTGAGAGGAGAGAGCAAGATGACATGAGGAGACACTGTCTCCATGTTGCCCTCAGGCCAGTGCTAAGTGAACTGGAAAGACTAGCATGGCCCCCTCTCCCATGTGACTCCATCTGGGAGCATCACAGTTGCCATGTCTCCAACGTCCTGCATTGGGAGAAATGGAGAGGTGGGATGAATTGTGTTCTCTGGAGACTGAATGTTCAGCTCCATGCTGGGTGCTGCTGCAGGCAGCAATGGCAGTGGCAGGCCCAGGAAGATAAGGATGCATGGGAAGTCTTAGGTCCCAAAACACATCAACTCTAAGTGCATAGATTCCCAAAGCCTTAGAAGAGGAAGAACAATCTCCAGGTTACCCTACTTCCTGTGACTCCACCAGTTCCCAGCCAGGCATGTCCTCTCTCCCTTCTCTTGGCAGAAGCAACAGGAGAAAATGGATTGCAGAATATATGGTGTGTGTGTGTGTGTGTGTGTGTGTGTGTGTGTGTTATATGGTGTGTTTGTGTTTCTCTGTTCACATTTTGGGGAGGTTTAGGAGTATGTTTACATATTATGAAATTTCATGTATGTGTCTGTCTGTCTGCCTGTTCACATTTTTATAGTGTGTGCAATGTGTTTGAGTGTGTGTGTATGTGTGTATATGTGTGTGTGAAACACATTTTGTTATGGACTAAGACAGACATACTTTTGGTCTCCTTCTGGTTTCCTAGAAGCCTACTTTTAATATTGGAGAAAATAACTGATAACGTTATCAATCAATGTTGACAACACTTAAGGAAAATTATAAGTTACTGAAAAATCTGAAGATGTTTATCTACCAAAAACTTATTGAAAAGTTTGAAGTAAAGTTCTTCATTTGTTCCAATCATTAACACAATAGTTTTAGAAGTCTGAACAGAGGGGGCTGATGCTCCTGCATTGCTTCTTCACGCTAACGTGGGGGCGTCCACTTTCTGGCCCACGGTGGCTGCTATAGCTACAGCCATCTTATCTTCACTTCAGAGACTGGAGTTGAAGCAGAAGGAATCACAGATATTGCTTACAGTCATGTCTCGCTGGCTAGAATCTAATTAGCCACCTAGCTACAGAGAAAACTAGAAAATGTATTTATTATTCACTAACAGCTGTCTTGATAAGTAGGGGAGCTCTGTTGTTAAAAAAAAACAATGAGAAATTAATACTGAGCTTAAAAACCTATTAATCCATAAGTGTAAAAAGTAAATTAAAAAACCCAAGTCCTTTCAATGCCATATAGTTTCTCATCAACTTGACATAGGACGAGATTGAAATTAGCTGTGTCAGCATTTAATGTTGTTCAGCCATTTCTGTGCAGTACCTCATCTGGCCTGCCTACATTCTGATAGACTGGCTGGCATTTTCATTCTCTTACATTTGACCATTTGGAAGGAGGATTCAGATGCTGAAAGAATACTCCGGTCTTGTTCATTTACAAGAAAGTTGCTCAGAGCCCCTGGTCTCTCAGCCTCAGAGCTTTTCCCACTGCTACATGCTGCCTGGCGTCAGTACTGGGACTGAGAACTGCAAGAATATGAAATCTAAATCTTTATTGATTTCTGTTTTTTTTTCCAACTCGTTGCAGAGCTGCAGTGACCTAGAAAATGCCATGGGCCAGTCCAGTGTGCTCTCAGCTCTGCCCCCAGTGACAGGGCCTCTCACTAGAATGAAATGTTCAGACAGACTGTAGTGTAGGGGAGTCTGACAATGCCACATGAAATTCAGGGGAGACACTCAAATACCTCTAGCTGGATGCCAACCCTATCCCACCCCCAAACGATCCAATATGCAGACTGGGGGGTGAGCATACAACCCCAATGGGGCACTCAGCCTTGAAGAAATTCAGAATCAGTAGCTGCTCATTAGGAAAGCTTAAGGGATGATCAATAGGAACCCTGCTCATGAAATGCCGCCATCTCTCTACTTCCCCGAGTCGCTGGTGTTTCATCAACCGCATATCGTTACAGTTCTTATATATTTTATCTGGTATTCACTGGATTCTTCTACCCATTAATGGAGAGAGGAAGTGCTTTAAGCCGTAATAAATAAGCAACTTCACTCAGATTTTCAGGTTCCTTCCCAGACTGATAAATCAAGCAGAGACTGAGGACTCTGAACCGTAGCGCAACTATAGAGGAAAGTTGGGTTGTGAGTGGCAGACCACCCAAGGAGAGAAAGACGACAGTTAAAATACATGCCAGGCCATGGTATAATATAGGAACACAGTGAAGGTGCAGCTTTCGTCCTCAGGATGAAGGGCAGCCCTGAAACACATGACTACATTCTTCTAGCCATTTAGGAAAACACAAAGGGGGATGTGACCCATGAGCCTCAGGCAAACTCGAGGGTCTGAAGACTGACTGGGGCAGGGGAGTCGAATTAAATGGAGATCTGTGTTGGACCCTGGCAAGAGTACGCTGATGTGATCATAGCTGTCGTCCTAGGTTTTCCTTTTCCATAATTACTGTGCCTCTACTTGTCACCAGAACTTTACCCGAATGCCTCCAGGCTGGGTAGCTGGGCTGGCTGCAGCTGCTGGCTCTGCCTACTTCATGACTTCTGGGGAGCATCCAGTGGTTCCTTCTTCAACACTTTTGGCTTCTCGTTTTTTATACCGTTCTATCTCTACTGGACACTAGCCAACATCAGCTCTGTTCTCGCCATATTCACCAGGACACATCTGGGTGAATTCTCTGAAACCGTATGAGTTCTCCTGGGCAAATAGGGGCATTCTGAGTTTTGTAGCCTCTCAGATAGAATACCCACGGACCCATCTTCACAATCTACTGACAGAACTGACCTCCCCTGCAGAGGTGCTGAGA